GCTTGCGGAGTTCCCTTCCCAGGGTCCTGGGCTGGGGTTGGAGGACTTGTGTTTGCGCCGAGCGTCCCTGGCAGGGGCGGGTCTCAGCCCCGCTGGCTGGGGGCTTCCAGCACGGGGCAAGAATCTTCTCCCAACCTGCAGCCGTGGCTCATCCTCTTCCACAAATAGGGGTGATGAGGCTGCCCGGAGGAGCGTATTTTAAATTCTGTGAGCTCCAGGCCTCCCGATCACTCCTCTTTCCTCAGTCCTCACTGGGATTCATCCAAGCCCGGGGTGAGGGGATGAGGCGGGGAGGGGGGGTCCCGACTCGGGGCGAGAGGAGGGACCCCACCCCCAACCCAACCACTTGGGAAGGCCACAAACTACAACTCCCACAATGCCCTGGGCCACCGGGCTCCTCTGCCAAGGGGGCCGTGGTTGCAGAGCATCATGGGAGTTGTAGTCCAGGACGTGCCGGGACGGGAGGGCGTGGAGACCAGGAGTCAGGAGCTTGGAGCCGGGACCCCAGCCCAGCCCTGTGCCCACAGACGGATTCGCTCTGGGCCGGGCTCCTCTGGCTCCTCCCTACGCCGTGGTTCTCATTTCCTGCTCCGGCCTGCTGGCCTTCATCTTCCTCCTCCTCACCTGTCTGTGCTGCAAAAGGGGCGATGTTGGCTTCAAGGTGAGTCGTGAGGGGACTCACGTGGGGAGGGGGACTCAGGCGAGGTTCCCCCCTCTCCAAGGATTTAGCCTGAAGTTACGGCCAGACCTGGGGCCTTGGGATGTGGAGACGGGATAGAAGTTGGGCTGGGACTGGAGTCAGTTATGAGAACGATGGGGAGACATACTTAAGAGAAGGATGGCGGCCTGGCTCTCAACCCTGTCTTCTCCCACCCCTCACCCGCTCCGGCCCCAGGAGTTTGAGAACCCCGAAGGGGAGGACTGCTCCGGGGAGTACACCCCCCCTGCGGAGGAGACCTCCTCCTCACAGTCGCTGCCTGATGTCTACATCCTCCCGCTGGCTGAGGTCTCCCTGCCGATGCCTGCCCCGCAGCCCTCACACTCAGGTACCGCCCCACGCCCTGCCCCGGGTCCCACGGCCCCCGGCATGGGGGGAAGCCTCCAGGGGCCAGAGTTGAGACCGGGGGCAGCCCACGGGAAAGGCAGAGGTGGGAGGCCCGGAACCTCAGAGGCAGGCAGACAGATCGTCCGGTGGAAGCTACTGCTTCATCCCCAGCCGGATTTGGGGGCTCTCGTGGGGGAACCGACGGTGAGATCAGCCTGGATCGCAGTCTCAGAGGCAGCCAATGGGAGGCCTCGGCCACATCATAGGCTCTCGGGATGCCCAAGGGAAGGCCTGATTGGATGCTGGAGTCTGGGGGGCAGCCAATGAGGAGGCTGCGATTCTGACAAGGGCTGTGGCAGGCAGCCAATGGGAAGAGACCGGTGTCTGCCGAGACCCCAGCTCCCGCCGACTTGGGGTGTGTGGGTCGGAGGCTCAGGGGCTTCCCCCTCTTGCCCTCCCCAGACATGACCACCCCGCTGGGCCTCAGCCGCCAGCACCTCAGCTACCTGCAGGAGATCGGGAGCGGCTGGTTCGGGAAG